CATCTTGCGTCTCTTCTACTCGGAACTCAAAGCCTCTTGGGCTTGGGTCGTCTAGTCTTTTCGAGGAAGTCAACGTTAAGTCTGAGTCCGTTTTCATACCAGGAAGAAAGGTATCTGGAGGATCAAGGAAGCTTTGCCATTTTATAGTGTCTGAAGCAATGTCTATTAAAACAGCATTTCCAGAGTCGAGCCACTTCAACATCTTGTTAGAAACTCCTCCCGGCAAAACGATGATGGTTTAAATTTGTCATCTTCCTAAAAGAATACGCAACCAATATCACATAAGACTGTACTAATCACCAAAAGCATAAATGAACTCCTTGACTACTTCAGATAGACATAAATAGACATTTGGTGTATTTGCTATAATTACTCTTTTAAGGGTTGTTTAGTTACCTCTTAATAGTTCCATTAAGAAGCAATCTCTGAATCGTTAAGAGGTGAATCTTGTTTGCCAAAAAAAAAGTCTGTCTCTTAACGGTTCTAAAACAATTTCTTGTGGTTCTTCTAATTAATCTGGAGTTTCCATAAGAAAACTGATGGCAACTCGATTCTAGATATCATTAGGATAAAATCTTCAAATAGAAGATGTTCTAGGAATTTTTTTCTTGATTCTTGAAGCCAGAAATAACATGAAACAAACTTACTAACGAGAGTMGGCTGGACAATATAGAAAAAAGAAAAATGCCCGATCAATTGATGTCCCTTTAAACCTATTCGATAATACACTACTGCACACAAATCTATCCCCATTTTAGATCTCCCTACGCAACCGGCGTTTCTTATTACTTATTTTTGCGCTCATTGTGTAAACGATTTTTCTATCTAATTTTTCGCTGTGAAGATCTAAGAAATCTAAATCCACTTCTCTGTTCACTACAAAACGCTACATCGCCTTTTACTGATAGAAAAAACCGCGCCTATAAAACCCATCAGTGATAGATTACCCATGGAATCATGCTGTCACAAAAGGTATTTGAAAGACATAAAAATCTTACTTAAATTATAGGATTTTAATTTTATGTAATTAATTAAAATCGGTTGGTAGTTTTAAAATTTATAAAAAATTAAAATCTCTTATTAAAATTACCAACAGATTATGACGGTTTTAATTAATTAAAATTAAAATCTTTGGTAATTTTAAACATTTAAAAAGATAATATTTTTTAACCATCGGATTTCCGAAAGAAGTCAACAAATCCGTAAAAAGTCAACTTATCCGGATCTGCGGTAGAGAAAAATTCAACGATACGTGCTTCTCCATTGGTGAAAGTCTAGCTTCTAATAGTAATCTTATTACCAAGTTATCCTCTACCCTTGATAACATTTGAAACGGGAAAATTTCTTTTATAATCAATATCCATGAAACTTTATGCTCAAATCATTCTCGGTTTTCTGTTTTTCYTTTCATATTGTTTTTCTAAAGTCTTTTTCTCCTTCCTGAGGGAACTGGTTTTTTGCTRATCAGCGACGGATCTGCACGGGAACTGGTTTTTGGCTAATCCATCGCAGATCAGCGACGGACAGACTAAAAACCAGTTCTCTCGCTAATTCGTCGCTAATCAGCGACAAAACTGATTTTTGGCCCATCCTTCACATATCAGCAACAAATAAGCCAAAAATCATTTCCTCGCTAATCCATCACTAATCAGCGAGGGAAATTGTTTTTGTCTGTATCCTACGGAAAGAAATGAGGAAATTTAATGATGTAGAAGATATGGAAAGTAGCTCAATTATTTGGGTCATAGACAACTTTTCAAGTCTACGTTGGGTCAACTTCTGAACCAATTTTTTTTACATATGTTTAAAATAAATGAAAATAATGTTTTTGCAATTGACTAATCCAAATTCCACGATTGTTGCTTTCAGGATATATATATACTAGGTTCGATCCCCGTGTATTACACAGGGTAATTTGAAAAAATTAAATCATGTTAGAAACTTATTTTACAGATATGAATAATCATCGAAAGTACGATACTACTTCAAACTTGTACTCTTGAAATAACTCTGAATAATTGAATTTAGAAATGAAACTATATCAATAATTAGTTAAAATGATAATCCAATTTAACATCAACAAACTATATCAATAGCTGTCTTTGGAACTCCATCAGTTATTGTGCTTGTCCCAAAACCAATGGTGAAAGTTGCTGTAAAAGAGGAGACCAATAGGCCATAGGTTATCTCAGGACCATCCGAAAATCGTCGGTCATAGACGCTGTCGGAGATCCGCTGTTGATGGCTTCGGAGACCCATCTGTGTTGTATCAGCGATGAAGTCTTCGATAATGATGAGTTTCCAATGAATGACCACGGATCTAACGATCACCAACAGATCTGTGATGGCTATGCCCATCGCTTAAAGTGTCTAGTTTTATAGTCTTTTATTCTTGCATGAACCTTTTGTTAAAAGATGAGAAATTCTTTCTTCAATWTCCCCCTCATTTTCAAGCACCATWGTTCTTGGACCCAGATAACTTTTTCTGTAAAGTGCCACACCTTCAAGTGCATCTTGAAATGTACACGATWGTGAAAAGATGAAGTTTAATTAACTAWGTGACCATCACGGWYTAAKCGATAGAACATAGAGAGACAAAGTTCTCATGGTTACCAAAACTAGAAGGTGTGATCYATTTGGAATATAGAAATAACATGTATAGCCAACTTCCATTATCGGCCTTCTTGGAGAGTGATAGTTAAGCTGTTGCTGGTATGTGTCTGATCTGGTTTATAGGAAGAAGAAGAAGAGCTGGACTCTGTTCTTCTYGCAACAAAAGCTGGTTGTTTTGGAGTTGGAAGGCTTGAAATATCACCAGCAAGCATCAAAACTACATTCRTCATGGTGGGACGATCTCCAGGATCTTCTTGCACACACAATAGACCAACAATTATGCACTTCAATACCTCAATTGAATTGCTAGATTCTACTAGCTTTTGATCCATCATGTCAATTGGCCTATCTTCTTTCCACAAACTCCATCCCTGTGATTGCTTGCAGATTAGCTTATAGAGCAAATAAATATTGGAACAATTCACAACAATAAATTGTTTTCAGAAAAAGGAAAATTACTTACGTAACCTAAAAGATTTATCGTCTGGTGGGATTTAGAAAATCCTGTGTTCTTTTTTCCACTGATGATTTCCAGAACAACGACTCCAAAGCTAAAAACGTCWGACTTAACGGAAAACAAGCCCTCTAGTGCATACTCCGGAGCCATATAGCCACTGCATGAAAGAGGTTATGAGAAGATAAAAGACATATTGAACTTTGCTTTAGTTACCAACTTATTCCAAATGTTGCTAAAGTTTTATATCAGTAGAAAAGTTGGGCAAACATGAGTTTAAATCTTGTAGCGTTTGTTTCTCATGATAAAGTTTCACCATTGTTTTGTCGAAATACTAAACATCACTTGCATTGTTCTCAATTAATATATGGCATTCTTTACTGTGGAACATGAGAGCATCAATTAGGTGTAGATTGATCGAATTAGGAATCATGAACTTACTGCAAATAAGATTTCCAAAACACTTTTTTGTACTTGGTGTTTTCTATTTGRTGATAAAGGCTGTATTTGTGTACTTACTATGTTCCAATGACTCTATTGGTGCTAGCTTCCATTTCCCTGTCTTTAACTATCTTTGCCAGACCAAAGTCCGATATTTTTGGATTCATTTCCCCATCCAATAAAA